GATTGGATAATATATTTATCATGTTTTTCTCGGAACAAATTCCGTAATATATTTCTTTAAAAATATACTCTGATTTTTATAAAGCATAAACAAAATCGGTCTTTTCTGGCCGTGAAAATGGGGATGTGACATGATGCATCAAGGAACCAAGTGGTGCATCCTTGCATCATCATGATGCATCAGGCATGTGGATGACGCATATTCATCAAGGGATAATGCATCCTCTGCAAGGTTGGTGCATCCTCTCCCAAGTTGGCATATCCTCTCCATAATGGCACATCCACCTCATGAATGGCATATCCTATCCCTTCGTGGCATATCTTCTCACTTGATGGAATATCATGTCACTTGGTGACATATGAAGTAACTTCATGGCATTTCATGTCACTTAGTGGCATATCAAGTCACTTGGTGGTGCACATTGACTTCTAAGTGGCGCATCCAAGCATAGGATGGTGCATCTTGATCACAGATGACACATCCATGCACCAGGATGCTTCATTCCACTTCCAGGTGCTCCATACCCCCTTTTAGAAGATTCGTTTCTTTTTCACTTGAGTTGTTCCTTTGTGAGATTATTCATTTCTTTGTCACATGCTCCATGAACCGCAAGTTCTCCATTAAGTTCCAAGTTCTCCATTAAACTCAAATTCTCCATACGAATTCTCCAAATGCTCAAGTCACATTTAATAGTGTTGCATGTGAATTGGGAAAGCAAAATTGAAAAAGTCATTCATCAATTATGAATACAATGATTGTTGAACCTCTCAAATTGATTCAAATAGATGTGCGTGGTCTGTCGTCTATTGAAATCATTGGTGGTAATAAGTATATTCTTGTTATTGTTGATGATTTTTATAGCTTTACACGGGTTTATGAACGCCTCTAATGACTCACACCCAATACCCTAGAACACTAGATATCAAGATTAGAGAGGAGAAAGGATGAGAAATTCGCATTTTTCATTCCAAAAATGATTATACATGAAATTTGATGCCTAGAGGATGTATTTATAGCTATGGGATCTCCAGAATAAACCCTGCTTTGAATAATTAAATATTCAGATTTAATCTATTCAAGACAGTTATCCTTATCATCTATCAGGAGGCTTCCAGAAACCCTAAAAACCTCCATATAACTGTTCCATACTAGGAACCTTCTAGAATTTTCTTCCTTCCTCAATTTTGAACAATTATAATTAAGCCCTTACACCTTTAATTAATTCCAATTAATCCTAAATTAATTGCAGATTAATTTTGATTAATAATAAATTAATTCCAATCATTTCAAATTAATTTACTAATCATATAATAAATTAAAAAATGACTTTATCTCTTTCCTAAAGTTATTTCTATCTATTTCTAGTTATTAAGGGCAACCCAAAACACACTTTACTTTTATTCCATAAAGTTATATCAATTTAGTTTTGACCTAAACCAATTTAGTTATGACCTTGGACACCTATTCCAACAACACCATCATTACTACCAACTTTTATCTATATTTCTTCATCATATCACATATTTGCACTAAAACCTTGATATTTCAAGTATATAACAACTTGAAATTATGGTTTTCCAATTTTGTGATCATGGTCTACAATCATTGCTACCATCATTTTAGTGAAATGCCAAAGACTTTACCATCTTCTTTCTATTTTCTTCATCAATTCATATTCACATCACTTAAAACCCTTGACATTTCAAGTTAATTCAAACTTTAAATTAGGATTTACAAACTCTGTATTTATGATTCCAATCATTTTCAACATGATTTTGTTGAAACACCAAAAACCCTAGCTTGGTTCTGGTTACGGAAATGGTTCTTAACTCCGATGGTGATTGTTATTACGAAGGTGAAACTTTGTTCTTGATTAGAAAAGGTGTTATTAAAAAAAGGTTGAGTACTAATGACATTATTCTGTTACAAAAATGTTGAGCTAGTTTTATCTATTTGGTCAATTTTTACGTGATGATGAGCATGGGTAGTTGGCATGAAATCTTGTCGTCTGATTGGATATGTATTTAATGCTAGAATTTGGCTGTTTCAATCTGCACTTATTCTGGGATGTTTGAAATTCAAATATTAACTGTTTGATATCCCTATCCATTTACAAACCCCTTTTCATTCCTATTTAGATCTTTTCGCTCACAAAATACTCTCAAGCAATTACCTAGTATTCTTACTACCTTCATCATTGTTCTTTGTGTTCTTGCTCAAAATTCATCCATAGTTTTTGTTGGTGAAAATGTGTAATTTATGGACCAATATGCTTCCTCTATTACCCTCACTATCAAGAAAAATCAACACTTGATTGCTGATCTTGTTTCTTCGAAGTATGCAGTTATAGTTCAACCTCTAATCGAGTGCCTTAATTCCTCAATTCTGAAGAAGGCTCTGACTCACTATGAGAATATTCATTTATCTGCTATAATTTTGGCTTATACCACAACAAGCTACAAGAAATCAAAGGATACTATGATTTTTGAGATTCAAGGGCACAAAACGAGGATTTATCGATCGAGTTTTTGCAAACTATTGGGGTTACCTAATGATGCTTCATACTATCGTCCCGATCTTCCGACTACTACAAATATGCTCAAAGCTCTACATCAACTGGGTTTTACACCTATTTTGACTCAATTGTCAAGTTTAAGTAGACTTGTTTGCCAGTTATGTGGAACACAATGTTCATGATATATTTCAAGTGTTTCTCATAAAGGACTACTAGGTCTGACAATGAGAGAAAAATGTTTCACTCACTGATGTATGGAATCTATACCGAAGATAAGATTAACTTAAGTCAAGTCTTATGGGCTCAATTTCGTCTAAGTCCTTCTTCTTCAACCAAGGACACAAAAATTTCATGTTCCAGATTTTGGTCCATAGTTGTGAAGAATGCAAATGATCATTATAATATTCCTCAGATGACAGATGTGAAAATGGAAGAAATTTCGAGGCTGAAAGTTGCAAGTCTTTTGTTTCCACTAGATACAAATTTCTTTTATGTTGGTTCGATTCTAGACGTGGTGATCAACAAAGAGTCTTCTACTAATGAAGTTACAAATGATCAACCGATAACGCTTGATAAGACTTGTAAACGAAAAATAGAGTAAAAAATTCCAAAAATAAACTACATAAAACACTCGATAACAGTTGAAATCTAGTGAAACATAGCATACCAATCAAAAAACCATAGACAACACGTAAAATCTACTATTATTCAACTTCATTAGGTCAATAATCAATTGATAACACTTGATAAGACTCGTAAAAAAAATTCCAAAAATCCTATATAAAACATTCGATAACAGTTAAAATCGAGTGTTATCAACTAAAATCATTTAAATAACAGTTAAAATCGAGTGTTATCAACTAAAATATTTCAATAATTATTTCTATTTTGAAAATCGGTGTCGAAATGTCAAATAATAGTGTAAAATTCGTTTTACGATTGTTGTAAGTTGAAAACAAAATCAAGGAATGTGTCGTTTTTTACCTTGATCTATAGCACTTGTTCTTGCAAAATCAATCGTTGACGACATTTTTTATTTTATCAAGCTTTTGGTGTTCGATTCAACGATTATCGTCGAAGATTTAGGGTTTTTTTGAGAGGTTTCGGTTCACAAAAGTAGAAAGAGAAATTATGGGGAACAATGATTAAGGAAATGACGGGGAACGAGTAGTTATGTGACGAACGAATCCATTTACAGTATTGCCCCCATGTTTTTAAATTTCTTTTAGTTGGACATTTAGTTTTTTATTTAATTACAAAAGTGACACTTTGCACATTAAAGAATGATTTTTGTTCTAAAATGTTATCGCAATAAGAAATGTTTTCGATTGAACACTCCCGTATATATATATATATATATATATATATATATATATATATATATATATATATATATATATATATATATATTCACCATCTTCATCTTCATTATTGGTTTATTCTAAAGACTTTATTTCAGAATTACAAAAATGAATGAAAACGGAATGCATAATACCAATACCTAAGAAAATATCATATATAAATGTTTTCCGTGGATTGGCTACAAATAATGATAAGATTATATGTAGTTTATTATTATTTTATTTATTTTTTTATTTTTTTTTACAACAAATCTATTCTATTCTTAAATTGAGATGTGTTTCTAATGGGACTTGAAACCTCGACCTCAATGAGGTATGACAACACAAGATACCACTGGCCTAGAAGCTCGTCATTATGATTAGCGAGTTTCTGATACCGACCGGACATAGAACATGGTTACACGAATAAATGTGTATTATGATCACTTAGCGAGCTCCCTTCTTGGAAATGTAATCGTAAATTCACTGTTTTTTTGGTTGTTTTTCATAAAAATTGATACATTGTACCTAGGTTTATTGGTCCCTAAAATATGGAATTTTAGTAAATAAAAAAAAGGCTTTAGGAAGATACGCATTATCTCCTTCTATGCTGTTACCGATCATAAATAAACAAAAATATGATCAAAGTAATCATAAAATATTATTGGTTTTGGTTGACAGAATTTAAAATTTTGCTGATTAATAGTATAATTGAAAGCAATTTCTTTAAGTTAAATATGTTCAAAAGTGAAGTTTACTTTATATTTATACAGACATAACCATTATAATTTTTCATTATGAAAAATGTATTAATTTGGCCGGTAATTCTTATTTTAATGGATGGCATTTTCCTTAAAAACTTAACAATCTTTGGCACACATATATGTTTATCCACTGACTTATTTATGCAAATTGTATTATAAACAACAAAACGACAAGTTCGCTTTTTGAATATGGTTTTCCGGATGTTGGAAGACAAAGGAAAACGACTTCTAGGTTATGTTGAACTGCTGATGTGAATACAGATGGGTATGGTGGCGTTTGTACAAAACTACAGTGACATTAAATATAATAATAATAAAAGAAAAGGAAAACGAATATATATTGTGCTGGTGGAATTCGTGATCTTTAAATTATTTGTTAACAAAAGAAAACCCTACTTATTAAAGATCAAGAAGAGATTACAAGAAATCTTAAAGATTTGCAAAATGGATTTACCAAATACAAAACATAATCACATAATCTTCTCTTTACAGCAAAGTGAGGATTTGGTGATTGATGACCATCCTTATCTGATTTCCTTCAACCAAGAAGATCATACACATGATGAACATCTTTCCATGGTGGATGGTATGTGTAAAACTAGCATCAATCTTCCTTCAAGCAGCACCAGGAAAAGGTCTGGATGCCGAGCATCCAATAAGCCTACTTTAGCTGCTACTTGTGGGGGAGGAGATGGTGAAGATGACCAAACACAGAAGAAAATGGTTCACAGAGAGATCGAAAGGCAGCGGAGGCAAGAAATGAGCCAGCTTTATGCTTCACTTAGAGGTTTACTCCCTATTGAATTCGTAAAGGTGAATTTCGATCTATTCTTTCCTTCAGATGATATCAAAGATGCTAAAAAATAGTCTGTTCATGTTGGAATCGGTGATTTTCGGTGTTCAGGGAAACCGTTCGGTGTCAGATCATATGAACCAAGCAGTGCATTACATCAAACAAAAGGAGGAAAACATTAAGGAAATCAGTACGAAGAGAGATCGGCTCAAGAAACCTTTTGACAAGATTGAAATCTCGATGAATCAGTTATCCAATACAGTCTCAGTCAAGTTCTGCAATGGGGGAGTCGAGATTTTGATCAACAGCTGCTCAATAGAAGAAGGGTTTGCCCTTTCACAAGTACTAGATGCACTTATGGAAGAAGGCCTTAACGTAGTAAGCTGTAGCTCAACCAAAGTAAACAATCGGCTGCTTCACTCTATCCGATCTGAGGTACATCCTACACATCATTCTTTATAGTTATACATTGTCAATTCTTATGGTTTTCTTCGTTCTTGATGATAAAAGCGTAATATGAAACAAGAAAATTTCGAAGAACATTAAATTCAACCCTCATTTCGTGGATTGTTTTTGCAGGTAAGTGAGAAGGCATTCATTGATCCATCAATGTTGCAACAAAGACTAGTCTTGGTAGCCAATACTCAGTCAAATTTCATTTAAGATCGTTCTACTCATAATTTGAAAACTATGGTATTTTTTTTTCCAGCTCGTAGGAGATGTCACAAAACACATTTATTTGACCCTTCGCATGATTTAGTTTGTTGTGCATAACATCAAAAGCTTAGTTTACATGAAGTTTGTGCCGATAATGTAATCTTGTGTTTTCCTGAAATTCATTTGTAAATGTCTCTTCTTAATTACGTTCATCAGTAGATGTCATGGGTTGCATTAGTTGTTCTTGTTATGGAAGAACATCAAATTCCACCCTCACTTTCATGGATTGTTCTTACATGCAAGTGATATGATAACGATTTATAAGATTATGATGTAAGAAATTAAGATTAGTTGTCATCACAAACACTGGGCTAAATTTCGAGAAAGATTGTAATTACAATTTGAAAACTAATTAATCTTAGGTTTACTTTCATGGAGATTAAAGATGTAGAAAATGCATATTTGCAAGTTCTTTATTAATTGGTACAATGAATTTCCAATGGCGAGTTTACATGAAGCTTGTGCTGCTTGACATCGATGTGGTCTCTTGTGTTTAATTTCTTATAAATTCTTGTATAATACTATGCGTTAGTACAATGGAACAACAAGATTTTGTAGTGGATACTGTTCCAGTTTTGCGTTTTACTTGAGGCTTGAACGAATTACAGTTACAGGTTCGATTTTCAAGTCCAGAACAATACGGACACAAGGGTTCATTATTCTCGGTTTGTCTATTAGTTATGTTGATAAAATGATTCAAGTGAGACCACAGACATGAAAAATGGCAATAAAATGATCGAAGTGATTTATTAATTAGTCTTTTTCATGTGCAATGGGCATCTATCAACTCTTTCTAAACAAATAATTGTGGGTCGGAAAAGCAACCATGATATGGACTTTTTTATGGAGATGGCTACCTCTCATGAAAGACAAAACCCGAGATGTGATAACTTGTTATGTAAGTTCTGCGACTATATATGATATCTGCATGCCAAGTATTGCCAACTTATATTTTTTCGATTTTCTAAATGGTTTTAAATATACAATATTTTTAAAAGTAATTCTAGAATTCATTTTAATATTTGATGCATATAATTAAGCCAAAAACAATCACACTCCAGTTAAGGGTAAAACCTTAATAAAAACCAAAAACCATATTTTACACTCCAAGGTAAAACCATATTAATGTTTTTTTTTTAATATGAGTGTTTTTTGTTTGGGACGGAGGGAGCATAACAATTAATTCACACATCCATGTAATAGTACATCTTTTGTTAACAACATGACTTAAATATCCAACCATTATGACATATACACATCTTTTGTCAACAACATGACTTAAACATCCAACCATTATGACATATTCACAGTATGAATATACATGATACCATTATGACAATATTTTTTTTTAGGGATTATAGATGATATTGAGATTAGAAGAGGTTATTCATCTTTGTCATTTTGTACCATTATTTATTTGGTGTGGGAATTAATAATCTTGCACTATTCTCAATGTAATTAATCAAGAATTTAAATATGATTGATTAATTACTCTTTCCAACACACGATTATTAACTTAATTAGTTAATTAAGGTTAGTCATATGATCTAGTTATATTAAACTATAAACCGATATCAACATGTGCTGGATTCTTAAAATTTAAAGGGAGTTTTAATAACTGTAATCAACTCACGTCTAGTTTCAAGCGCTTTTTCACAATTTGCTTATTAAAATATGACTTACTAGGTTTGAGTCGTATATATGAATTTTTTGAAGAGCTAATCGATTAACAAAAATAATTACAATTTTGTGGCATCCTTATAAATTAGTGGTGTTACGTCGCATGGGTTTTCGCTTTAATTCTTTGATTTCCGGCTGGATTTTTTATGTTTCTCAAATCCAAACAAAAATAAAGTATTTTCCATGAAGTCAAAAAGTTTTTGGTTAAGAAAAGGAGAGGTTGCCGGTGTAAATAAATATAATGTTGTAGTCCAATAATATCTTGAATTTTGCATTAACGAAAGGGTTAAATACATGTAGAATCCCAATGGGCTTAAGCTGGACTAATACATGTGGACAGATTAAGGTATGGTCCGAATCTATAAGACAAATAGGCAAAACTAATATGTATATGCAATTTAAGGAGGCGTGAGCAAACATTCAAATTGTCTCTGAAATGCCGACATGTTGAAGACTATGAAATACACGAATTTGAGCAACAAACCACTAATTTTTCACGTACAAAATTGATATCATTTTTAATTTAATTCGTTCGCTGGTATTGTATATTTTTGTTTGATAGATAAACAACATTGATGTTGTCATGGTATACAATTGTAGGCTTATCGAGAGGGGACTGAAGCTCTCAAAGGAGGTTACAGATCCAACATGTCATCTACAACATTCGTAACACCTCTGTATACAGCTCCTGCACTAAATCAGAATGCAATGAGTTTCCATTTAGGAGGGGCAATATAATAATTTATCTCAGAGAAACATGCAATAACGAATTGTGGATCAACGTAAGGAGAGGCATCTGGATGGCACCTCAAACCCTACTAACTTGGATGATGTTGAATAATACAAGTAAGATTTTGGTAAACATATGGATCTATGGCACAATACACAACCTCTCCTTACCATGATTCTAAAGAAATGTGTCACCAATTTACTCGTATGGACAAGCCTTAAAGAGTTATTTAGTGACAATAAAGACGCATGTGCCATGGAGTTTGATAAAAAAATTTAATCCTTGGTTCTTAGTGATCGATCAATTACCCTATATAGTCGAAAAAGGATACTCTTATAAAATCTCTCACCCAACACAAATGTACTAATGCCCACTATAGATACATAAATAGACACTCCAAATAAATGATGTATGTGATGCATGGCCGCGTGATGGTAAGGTATTTATGTGAACTTACAAGGATCTAATAGAAAGATGAGTCAACAATACCATCATTGTCTATTTGGATAAGTTTAATGTTAATGTTCACCGAGATAGTTGTAGGATTTCACGTCGTCATAGAGGCTTCGTTAATAATATCGTTGGTATATTGATTTTAGATAATAAATAAACACAAGTTTTTTTACTATTCATGATGGCAAGGAGATGACGCAGTTTTTGAACATCCATCATGGAATACTCACATGATAGTGAGTTGATGTTACTCCATAAAGGCAACAAGGAGTATGAATTTGTATACTAAATAGTGAAAGATCTAGTATGCTCAAGAGTCGTATTAAAATGATATTGCTAAATAACATATGATTTTAAGGGTCACACTAACAACAACTTGATACAAATGATTATTTATTAGAAATTGATTTTAATAAATAATCATAAACTCCTTTAATAATTGAGAAAATATTTATTTCAAGGAAATAATTATTTTACAATACAAGTAACACATTATTTCATATAGTATGAATATAATATGTCATGTACATCTTTTTGGACCTAATAAGCCTTTTGTCTTTTAGCAAAAGACAAAGTTTTATAAACTTTAAGTTTATAAAATATAAACTCTTGACTTGTCTTTTCTTCTTGGAAACATGAGATGAAGAGAAAAGACCTTTGCATTGGTATAATGTAAAAGAATCAAACCTAGGGAGATATGTTCATGACATAGGGGACAAAGTTGTCTAAAAGTACTTAATGGTTAATGACTCTTGGACCATAATTCCATTATAAATAAGAGGTGAGTTCTCTCATTTTTCTTTACTCCTCTCTCCTTAGCCGATAGCTCTTTCTTCTTCCCCATCTTCTCCCTAAAGTCTTGAACTTTGAAGATTATGTTGCTTGCATTCTCTCATTAATTCATAATCTTGTTTTGGCTTAAAACTTTAAGAGTTGTAACTAAGATTACATCAAGTTGGCACATTGTTGGTGTCTCAAGGGTTCATACTCACTCCATCAACTTCCAAGCCTCCCCTAGAGGACTCAAAGTGCTTCAAAGGTTGTTACCACTTCTTCCTTCTATGGTTGTGTTTTAAATATTTCCTTTACTTGCAAGATGATCCTTGGTGGGTGATAAAATGTTTATGTTATTTTATAAAACTCAAGTCTTTCGTGTTAGGTCATATTTTGTTGGTTTGAGCTAGGCATCCATATGTATAGGTCTTATTAGTGTTTGTAGGGGTATTTAGGGTGTTTACGGTTGGGTGAACCGTAAACAAGGTGTTTACGGTTCAGTTGGTGTTTGCGGCTGCAAGTCTGTTTGCGGCCGTGAACTGTTCGGTTCACTATTCCCTATAAATATGTGTCAGTCTTGTCAGAGTAGTAATCGGTTATGTGCGTGTGTTCCATTATACCTGACGTTACCGCCTAATAGAACGTGTGCAATTTGGAATCATTTCTGCTTCTACTCATTCTTATACTTATTGATTATAGCTTGTTCGTGTGTTTGATCACTAGTTGGTTGCAGATTTGGGGGCTTACAATTGATATCAGAGCCATACTAGTGTCAAAACTGATCAAGTAGCGTTTTCGGCTGGGGTGTTCTTCATTTTTGTGATAATTCAAGCTTGGTTATTGAGTTTCTACTGTTGATAGTGATTTCAAGGCTAAAGGATTGAAGATCTGCTCGAAATCAGCTGTTTTCATCAATTTCTGGGAGTTTTCGGCTACAACTGTTCATCAATTTAAGGCCGTGAACTCGTTTTCGGCCGTAAACCCATAAGAGTTTTCAACCGTAAACCATTTTCGACTACAAACAACTCGTTTTGGACGGTAAACTGTCTTGAACTGTAAACTGCGTTCAACCGTAAATTGTTCTCAACTGAAAACTCGTATATGGCCGTAAACTATTTTCGGCCGTAAACCCTTGATTGACCGTAAACCTGTTCTCAGCTGTGAACCCTTTCAGTTTTCGATTATGCTTTCTTTGTAAGTTTTGTTTTCAATCACTTAAGAAAATTAAAAAGGAAAATAAAAAAAAATGGAATCACAAAACATGTCAGTTCCTGAATGGAAGTACAGAATGGGAACTACCACAAGAATCCCACGTCTTCTGTCAGCTGAAGGATTTCCTGAATGGAAGTACAGAATGGAGTAATACATCAAAATGAAGGATTTCAAAATTTGGCGCAACATTCTGAAGGCTCCAGTTAGAATCACTACCACTCTTGCAAATGGAACCATTATCGACAAAGAGTTTGAAAATTACACAGATGCGGATTTCAAGAAAATTGAAAAGCAAGAAAAGGCTCTCAGAACACTTACAATGGCCTTATCTCTGGAAATTGCACAAGGATTCAGGGAGTATGACTCAGCCAAAGCTCTGTGGGAAGCACTGATTGAAGTTTATGAGGGAAATGAAGACATGAAGCAGAGCCGACAAGACATGCTCAGACAGAAGTTCAATATGTTTAATCATATTCTTGGAGAATCATTGGAGGCT